CCTGAAAGAAAGAAAGAAAGAAAGAAAGAAAGAAAGAAAGAAAGAAAGGAAGGAAGGAAGGAAGGAAGGAAGGAAGGAAGGAAGGAAGGAAGGAAGGAAGGAAGGAAGGAAGGGCTTGATTTGTGAAATATCACTACATACATTTCACTGTATTTTTCTCATATGCATCTCTGACACTATCTTCCTCCATGCCTTCTATTACCAATCTTCCCCTAAACATACTTGCTTACTTTACTTAAATGACTTGTGTTAGTGTGTGTGTGTCCTTAAGATGTATTTGTTCAGCCAAACATTCTTGAATATGTAGCCTTCCAACAGAGCATGATAAATTACCAAAACTAATACTCTTAGAAAAAAACTCAACCTTCCTATGCCAGAAGTTAAGTATTGCCAATACCTCTCTACAAGTAGGGATGGAATTCTATACCTATTTCCCCTCACTTGGTCGGTTTTCACTCAGTAATCTGGATTTTTCTGAAATCTGCAATAATCACCTCTATCAACTTTAATTTTATTAATTTTTGTCTTATTGCTTATTGTTGTTTGTTCTTTGCTTGAATGCTTGCATGTTGTTTTTTGTTTGTTTGTTTGCTTGTTTGTTTAAGACGAGGTCTCACATTCCCAGGCTGACCACACATCAGTAAGAAACCAAAGGTAACTTTGGACTCCTTCTTCTATCTACAAATGCAAAAGTAATATTTTAATTCTCAGATATATTGTTTATTGCTACTTCTGTCTCTGAAATGCTTGGTCAATTTATTTACACAATGCTGCTACCGGAGCAGCAGGGCCTGATGCAGTTCACTCACTGCCAGCATGGGCTGAGCTTCCCTCTCTCTGCTCACCCTGCTACACTCACTTCTACTTTCCAACCACACTGGGGAGCAGTGAATGGAAGTATGGGGTGGATTCTACATTTATTGCTCATTTGATGGCTTAGTACTCTTCAGAAACAGAGGGGCAATTGGATCTCCACAAAGCTGATTGAAATTAAGAACTTACTTCACACCCAACTGAAGAATCTTTGAGGATTTTAAACAAGAATGAGACATGGTCTAATCTCTCCTGTGTAAGGACCACATTGATTACTGTAAGGAGAACTGATAATAGCCTGTAACCGAAATCAAGAATGATACCAAGACTCCTAGGAATAAACACATTTCTCCTGGAAAAGGACTGAAAATAGTAATTTTATAAATTATTTTACCTAGTATTTATGTTGCAAAGAGACCATACTTGTGGTAATAGCAAGTAGAAGTGACGGTGATGATTGAAAAAAATTGTAACTAATGAAAGATAAAAACCTGATCACATCTGAACTGTATCCACAACACAGCTATCTATCTTTCATAGCAGGTCTTGAGAAAATGAGACAAAAATTCAAGACTGTTGGGGTATCCACAATGTAATCAAATGGTCTTTGTAAGACTTAGACATTCTAATGAGACTAGAATACTGATGCACATGCATAGAGAAAAAGACAAGAAACACCAATATAGACATGGAAGCCCCTGAGGAAACAGAGCTTTCTTCCAAAATAATCCTGTTAGTTGAACCTCTAGACCATGTTAAAAGGAAACTGTTTGCATCTGCTCAGTCTGTGGGTTTGCAATGCTTTCTTTATGTCATTTTATTCATTGTTTTGCTTTGTTTGCTTTTCTTTTCTTTTGTTTCCAAAATATACAATGAACTCAAGAAACTAGTCACCAAAACCCCAAAAAATCCAATTAAAAAGCAGGGTGCAGAACTAAATAGAGAATTCTCAATAGAGGAATGTAAAATGGCTGAGAGATTCTTAATAAAGTGACCAACATCCTTAGCCATCAGGGAAATGCATCTCAAAACAACTCTGAGACCATATCTTACTGTCAAGAATGGCTAACATCAAAAACACCAAAGACAGTCTATACATGAGAGGATACGGAGAAAGAAGAACATTCCTCCATAGCTGGTAGGAGTGCCAACTTGTACAACCACTTTGGAAATCAATATGGCAGTTTCTCAGGAAAATGAGAATGAGTCTACCTCAAGATTCAGCAATTTCTCTCCTGGGAATACACCCAAAGAATGCACATTCATACAACAAGGATATATGTTCAACTATGTGCATAGCAGTGTTGTTTGTAATAGCCAGAACCTGGAAACAACCTACATGCCCTTCAACTGGAGAATGGATAGAGAAAATGTAGTACGTTTACACAATGGAGTACTATTCAGCAGAAAAAAAAAAAGAATGGAATCTTGAAATTCGAAGGAAAATTGATAGAACTAAAAGAAACCATACTAAGAAAGATAACCCAGTCACATAAAGACAAACATGCTATGTACTCATTCATATAGGGTTTTTAGAGCAAAGGAGTACCAGTATATAGTTCTCACTGCCAGAGGAGCTAGGAAACAAGGAGGACCCCAAGAGAAGATTGCATGGTCCCCTGAAGAAGAGGAGAGGGACAAGAACCCCTGAGTAAATTGGGAGCATGGGGGTTGGGGGAAGGGAGAGGAATGAAATGGAAATGGGAGAGGGGGAGAAGGGGGAAGGAGAACAGGAGGACTGAGATAGGGGAAGAATAAAAGAGGGCAAGAAAGAAGATACCTTGATAGAGGGCACCAGTACAGGTTTGGAGAGAGGTCTGGCACAGAAGAAATAGTAGGAGATCCAGAGGGATAACCCCAACTAGTAATCTAGGCAATGGTGTACAGGCTTCCTTTCATGCCCTTCCTCTATAATGATATTGATGACTACCTTGGTTACCATTCCTAGAGCCTTGACCCAGTAGCTGATGAAAGCAGAAACAGGCACCCACAGTTAAACACTGAGCCATACTCCCGGAATCCAGTTGCAGAGAGGGTGAAGAGATGAGCAAATGAACCAAGACAGAACTAGAGATACCTGCAGAAACAGTTGACCTGACCTAATGAGAGCATGCAGACGCTACTCGTAAAGCAGGGGAACTAGCATTGGATCAAACCAAGCCCTCTGAATATGAATGCCAGCCAGGAGGCCAAGGCAATCTATGGAAGCCTTTCCCAATCTCAAAGGATCTGATTCTGTACACAGGTGTCTTGTTGTCATAAACTACATGGTCTAAAGATCTCTCCTTCTTAGTAAGATTCTAAAGGTTATTAAAGTAAAATTCGCCAGAAAACATTAAAGGAGTTCAGACAGTGATGTGAACATGTTTTCAATAATATGTGGTTCATGGTGAGAGTTCTTGTGAGACTGCCCCCTTCTCTAGCATGTTTCTTAAGGCTCAGTTTGGGTGATATTTCTCTTAAGGAGTAGTTATATTCACTGTCACTGTTCATACTGACCTCAATTCAACATGTACTTAGGCTGCTCTATACAATTTTTAAGTAGAAAATACATATCCTACATTCCTGCACTGTTTTACAGTCCAATTATTTCTGATTGATTTTTTTTATTCAGAGCCTTGTTTTATTTAAATGTGTTCTTCATGCTACAACACAACCCTTCAGAGTCAATCAAATACATAATGTCAGTCGTTTCCTCAAAATTCTTAAAGACTCACAGCCACAGTTCTAAACCCCTATAAGGCGGCTTCAGAATCCAAAAGATGATAACACAGTAACTACGGCATTAAATTCCATTTTATGCAAATCAAAGAAAAATGAAACATTATCAAACTACGAAAATCAGTGACATCATTATTTAATATGTATATTTTTCAACTCCCTAAACTTTCTCAACACTGGGGGTTGCTCCCCACCCCTTTTTTTGAGACAGGGTGTCATTATGTGGACCTGGCTCTATAGACCAGGGTGACTTTGAACTCAAGAGAGCCTCCTGCCTGATTTTTTTCAATACAGATGGTTTTCTCTCAGTTACAGATTAGTGTCCTTCCTCATTTTCTTTGTGAACATAGTTTGTGGATGTTCCCTGTCATGAATTAATTTAATGTTCCACATATATCACACTTACACTAAGACAACCTCTGCATTTAACCCGCTAATGCAATTACTATATTTACCTTTCCCACCTTATTTTCATTCTTAATTTGGAACAGAGTATATTGTGTGCAGTGACTCAGTTTTGTCCATTTTTCCTTATTATATCTATTCACTGACTGTTCATATTTTTCTTGGATAATACAAATTATCTAGGAAGCATAGCTGCCTCTAACATTCAATATTCTGTGAGGAATTACGTGATGTTCAAATAGTGCAGGGTAGTGATATGTGAGGGACTTTGGACGGGGTAAGGCATCTAGGGTCATGTAGTAGAAATCTCTAAGAAGTCTCCCTCAACAACTGTAGATCATGAAGTCTGGGGTTCTTCCTATGAAAGTCAAAGGGTACAGACATTATTACAGGAAGGCCTAAAAAATAGTGTTAGCCAATGCTGATGCAGCCCATGAAGACCAATAACAATAATACAATTTCTCCATGCCATAATGGGTGTGTATGCTGAACAGTAGATGCTAGTACTCAGGAAATCTGCTCCAATTATGACTTAATAGTTCTCTCCAGACTTTTGTGCTTAAAGAGAGGCAGAATCTTGTCTCTCCAGATACTAAATAGAAAGAGAGAATAGCCTGAGTGGTCTTCAAAGGGTGATTTAGAAAGGCTTCAAGTAGGAAAGGCAGAGAGAAACAGCAGATGGAAGAAGCAGGCTCAATATCTCATAAGCAGGAAGTCTGGTAAAATCCAAACTTGACCATAGCATGATGTGACCTGAACAGAAGGGTAGCTACTGCCAAATGTAACTAACTCAGATCCGTTGCCTGACATACTCAGTGTCAGCAATGAGTGAAGAGGGCAATGTATCATGAAAGAAAAACATCAACTCTGAATTCAATGGACAGAGTAAAATCAGAAAAGATATTAGGGAGGATGATGAGGATGAAAAAATGGGCAATGTCTGTAAACAATTTTTACTTTGATTTTATTATATTTTATGAAATTATTTATTTACATAGTGTTTATTTCGTTGTTTGAGAAGTTTGTGCTTGTATATAATCAGTTTTAATCTGATCCAACCTTTTTTTTTCCTCCTCTCTAATTTCTTAGCTATCCAGTCAACTGATACTGATACTTTTTTTGTATTTCCATATCCTCATTCTTAAAACACACTGAGTTCCCCTGATGTGCACTGCTGTAGGGCTAAATTACTAAGCTTAAGATGGTGATGCCCAGTTATAGCCATTTTTCTCAAAATAGTATAATTTTAACACTTTTAGTACTATTATCATACAAAGAAATGGCTTGTATTGTGAAATATTTCACTATTCTTTTCTCATATGCATCTCTGACACTATCTTCCTCCATTCTCTCTAATACCATTCTTCCCCTGAACACACACTCGTCATTGATATCTGGATTACTGGGATGATTAGTATCAAAAGCATCACATCTAAACAAGTCTTCAGACTGCCTCTACAAAGATGATTAGATTCTCACTTCCTGTCCTCTATAAAAGGGTGATCCTTGATTTTGAAGGAAAGTAGAGGGAAGCTTCCTTCTCTGGCTGTGCAAAAGCACAAGAGCCGGTCTATAGTAAATCTCAGGATGAGGATAGTTAGGCTGGGAGCCTCCTTGCTGTTCTGGTCATTGTGGCTTTTCAGCAGTAGGGAAAGATTGGCCTTGAATGCCTCCTGCCAGTGTTTCCTGCTGTGAATTGTTCTATTCTTTCCCATCTGCAGCAGAGGACAGTGCTTCCTCTTCTGCCTGGGATTCCTTCTGTGGATCATTGTTTTCAACCTCATTGGCAGGAGAGGCCTCTGAGACTTGAATCCTGCATTTGTCCTCAGGTTCTGTATGGGGAGAGCCAGAAGATAAGAGCACAGTGGTGAAAGACTTTCTTTGGTTTTCCTTCCCTGAACTAATCACACAATCCTTTCTCCCAGAAGCTGTCTGCCAACTGCTAACTCCTTCTTCCATTCATCCTTGCTCTTTGGCTTACTAAATCTACATCACAATGAGATAGAAAACTCTGTGCTTGAACAATGGGACAAATGTGTGATATAGGTATAAAACATGTAAGTTTGGGAAACTTTATTTATCACGAGATGTCCCCAAAGGCAAAAGGGCACTAATGTAAAAGAAGAATATATTAACAACAGGAAGGCTGCCAACTGTGATTAAAGGAAAGCTGTTCTAGCCCTGGTTTCTGAACCCTAGGATAAAATTTGAGTTGGTCTTTCAATACTTTACATCTACATACTGAAACCACAAGAGAAGAGAAGAATAAACTGGCCTCTACCAGATTCACCAAATTCCTGGGAACAATTTGTTGTTTCTTTTTAAATCAAACACAGATATATATATATATATATATATGTATATATGTATATATGCATATGTATATGTATATGTATATGTATATATAGTGAATGGGGGAAGCAGAAAGGGAAAACCAAGGATTTCTCCATCTTTTCCATAAACTGCAATTATAGACAGGAACACCAATGCAGAAGGAAACCACGGACCCTCTTACTACCAGAAGAGTCAGCATTAAGACACTTTTGGCTTCTGCCTCATCTCAAAGTAGTCATTTTGGATGGGAAGCAGGCAAGTTTCTTCTACTCTTATGAAAGCTTGCTATCTGTCATTAAGTTGGATGAACTAAGTTATGCTCTCCAGTACAAGGTTGGGAACTATGTTTATATCTTTAGAGAAACTAATAATGATTCATTCCTAAGACAGAAAATATGTTAACACGACACACTGAAACACAGACAGTTAAACAGCATGGAAGGATGATCTGTTGGGTATAACTTTTGTGACAGCAGCAGGATCCTCATTGGTGACCTCCATAAATAAAGCATAGAATGAATTTAAAGTTCAGATCACAGTGTTTCAGCGTTTACAGATGTCCTAGGAGCACAAGGGAGCTCATCAGTCAGTCTGTGAGAGTCTGCTGGGAAGGGTTGGAGATGCAGGGACACGTGCAGATTCCGTGTGCTGTTACCCAAGAGCTCTAAAAATGAAATCTCTTTTGTCCTCCCTGCACATCTACAAAATAAACTGCTCCTTCTTCCTATCTGTGGTGCACATATTAAAGTCACATTAAGAATATGTCTCATCAGTTAGTTTCTTCATTAATTCTTAGTGCTATCAATAGGCAAATCAAGGAGTACACATCATATAGATGAAGAAAAACCTCTAAAGGGTTTGCAATGTATTTAAAAACATACATAGGCTTGGGAGAGAAAAGAAAAGGATGAAGTGGTTAAAAAAGAAATAGAGTAGCTGTGTGTAGTGACACACATCTTTAATCCCAGGTCTTGAGGCAAAGGCAAGAAGATCTCTGTGATTTCAAGGTCAACCTGGTCTACAGAGTGAATTCCAGGACAGGCAAAAGTACACAGAGAAACTCTGTCTCAAAAAACAAAAAAAAATAAAAGTAAAACAAATAGAGTAATGAAAACGCCATATAAAGATGTAAAGTACATACAGAGTCTGGATACTGTATAGTATTGTGGTGTCTTTGAATTCTTTGATTGCTGAGGAAAGATCAACAGCTGCTAACAGACATTTGATTATAAATGATGCTGGATTAATCCAACCTGTATTTTTTTTAATGTTTTCACTTCAAAATGTCGAATGACAGGTTTTTTAGAAAGATGTTTCTGGTTTTTCTTTCCACAGAAAATGAAAAGCTATTGTTCCTTCGAGACTAAGATTGTATGATCAAGAAAGACCCCATGAAACAGCGGCCCAGGTGATCCAATATCCAAAACAGTTGAGACTACACAGCCTTGCAAACTCCATCAGTCAGGATTAGTCCAGGATTCCCTTGGTATCGATAGTGCCCCCAATCAGCAGGAAGCAGTTTGGAGAGAATTATTCCCAATTTCCCAAACATTGCTTATAAATGTTTGCTTTCATTTAAATTGGGTTGGTTATACATAGTTAATGATCACAGCCAATCTCTTTTTAAGGAAAAATAGGGGAATATGATGTAGAAATGAGTACTCTGCATTGGTAAGGATTTTGTAGTATTGATAAAAATTTAAGTAAATTTTGTTATATGTAAATTTCTCTGCTTGTTTAGGCATTGTGTTTGTAGAGCTCTTTTTAAAAATGTAATGTATAATTAAATACAGATAATAGTCATCTATAAAAGTCAAAATGGATAATTATGTTAGTTAGATTTCTATATATACACAGATATATTTGAGATGGATATTCTTCAAACCTTTCAAAGACCTTCAGAATATGGCATTTAAAATTGTTTATTAGGATTTTTCATGGCCGTAAGATACAACTGCTTCTGGCAAACCCCATTATATCAAAGAGGAAGATGGGCATCGAAGAAACTTATTATTGAGTTTGTTTTCAATAAGGCGGAAATAGTCATTTGGGCAAGAAACTATTCTTGCCTGGACTGTTTGACTGTATGCTGTCCAAATTGGACATAAATGACCCAAATGAAAGTGACTGCTGAATTTGCCAAAACAAAATTAGACAGTCTTCATGGTTCCTGCTTCATGAAAGAGACTGCCAGACATTCTGCTGGACACAGAGAAAAATGACTGACAAACTGCCAATGCAGGCAAATAGTCTCAAATTTCTTGCTTCACTGAGAAGTCTGACAGACACTCTAGGCCTGTAGGCTGAAGAGTGATGCCCCAAAATTACAGATCTTTGGGTGACTATCCAGGCAACAAGATGTCTCTGTCAATTCTAGAGTTTATATATTCTTCTGAGGCTATTAATGAGGTTGAAGACACATAGTTATGGTTATACATTTCCTTAGTTATAATAAAAGATGAGTTATATGTAAAACTTTAGACTCACAAAAATAGGATAGATGATAGAATATTTTCTTTAAGTTTTGACAAATGTTAATGGACTAAATATTGCTAACTATTTGTTATGTATAATTTTCCTATGTTAAAATTAAAAGCTTTCTTTTATTTAGACAGAAAAGAGGAGATGATGGGGGCTGTCCTTTGTCGCGCCTGCTGTGCGGCCTGCATCCAAGAATGTAGCGAGGTGGTCGGGATAGATGACACAGAGACCGGTCGGTTGCTTTAAGAAAAACTTTATGCTTCCCAAGTCAGCTTAGGAGGAGATTCCAAGTCCGCTTAGGAGAGAGAAGTCTCTGGAGAAGTCTCTCCAAGAAAAAACGCTTCCCCTTTTTAAGGACTTCTGCCATCTATCTACATACAATTCTTTCCAGACTTCTCACCCTCCTGGCTGGTAGTTTAATCTCTGGCCCCAGAATCGGGGAGACACAGCAGGGGGGCACAGGAAGAAGCATCTAGCCATAGGGGGTGTCAAAGTCATGGTATTTCAGTGAGCAAGCCCTTATCTGAGCCCTATCAAGAGCTTTATAGCACTGAGTTGTTTTCAGTAAACATTACACAGCTGCCTGCTCCCAGGCTGAAGGGGAAGTGGGTTTCTGCTCAAGGTCTGGTGTCCCCACAGTCCTTCTCTACATATGTTTCTCTTATTGGTTTATGAATAAAACACAGTTTGGTCAATTTGCAGGTAGACACCCAGGGCTAGAAGACCAGGGGAATTTTGGGGAGAAAGGCAAAAGGGAGACTTCATGTAGCAGAGTAAAGACTAACAGCACCAGACCCTTCTCTGGTAAGATAAGACCACTTGGAAATACTTAGATTAATAGAAATGGAATAATAATTAAGAGAGAGCTAACCAGTAAGAAGCCCTAGTCATCATCCAACAGATTTATAAATTAATATATGTCTCTATTTGCATATATGGTGCTGAAGCAGGGCAGCAGGACCTGGCAGAACAAGAAACTGCAGCAATATGCTTCACACCCAACTGAAGAATCTTTGAGGATTTTAAACAAGAAATAGACAAGGTCTAATATCTACTATGTAAGGACCATTCTGCATATTGTAAGGGGAACAGATAAAGCATGTAATGAAAATCAAGAATGATCCCAAGCATCCTAGGGATAAAGACATTTCTTCTAAAAAGGACTGAAAATATAAATTTTATAAATTATTTTACCTAGGATTTATTTTGAAGGTTGCATCAACTGGATTTGCAAAGAGACCATATTTGTGGTAATTGGAATTCAAAGTAACTGTAATAATTAACCAAAAAATATTGTGAATAACAAACAAAAGATGAAAATCTGATCAAGTTTGAACTATATCCACAACATGACTATCTTTTATAACAGGTCTTGAGAAAAAATTATTAATTCAAGTCAGTTGGGATCTACACAATGTATTCTAAACAGTCTTTGTAAGACTCAAATTTAAGTAGAATATTGATGAATATGCATAGAAAAAAACATAAGACACCACTCTGGACTCTAGATATGGAGGCTTCTGAGGAAACAGAGCTTTTTTCCCAAAGTAATCCTGTCATTTGAGCCTCTAACCATGAAGTTAACTGTGCTTTTCTTCTGCTCAGTCTGTGGGATTACATTGTTATCTTTATGTCATTTTGTTCCCTGTTTTACTTTGTTTTTGTTTTGTTTTGACAGTCATAGGAAACTAATACAGAAAAGGGTAGCAGTATAACAGGAGAAAATGAATAATTCCATCTGAGGCATGTTGCCTTTGAAATAAATTTAAAAGACTAATGACAGTTAGAGAACTTAAAGGGTCCTACATATTAAGTACCAACTACATGATGCTCATTGTTACAACCCCATTCTTCCTAACTTGGTTTTTTTCTGTCAACATTTCTCTAGATTCTTTTATTATCTCCAATGGATTCATATCTCATATTTACATTCCATGATACATTAATTTCTGCATTCATTGGTGACAGTGGAATAAAAGCTGGGAAGGACTTGAGCTGAGTGACACTTGGTAGACTAACATGTTATCTTTTATGAACTGGGAAGTAATGGAGTGTGATGATTTCCCATGGTCCAAAATCAACCACACAACAGGAGCAAGTCCACGCAGTTCTTTCCTTCAGTGTTTGCTCTAGCTAATTTCTCACCTGATGATCTTCCAGGTGACCATGATCAGGATTGATAATCTCCAGGTTGCTTCCCATGTAGTGTATTGGAGCAAATACTTCTATTCTGTCCTGAAAAAACTCATAAAAATGGAGAAATTCTTCACTAAAACATCCTGCCATCATCTCTATCTTCCACTTTTCTCATGAAAGCATTCCTCTTTGTTTGCCTGCTCCCACCTGGGATAAATTTTGACAACTCATTGAGCAGTTTTCCCTCCCTATAGAGTTCTAAGGCTTTCCTCTCCGGTGTTCATGTATCAAAGGTCTCACTTCAGACCCTTTGCTAGGTGGACCCGTACTGAGCAAAGTCCTGTGAAGTTTGGCCTCAGCTGCCATGGGTTCTCCGTTTGATGTGGTAAGGACTGGTTGGCCCAAGTTCACATGTTAATTCTAGAGAAGGAAGTCTGGGGATTGTGTTACCTTTTATTAATATCAGAATCCAAACACAATGATTAAAAGACAGAGTGAACAATCCATGCTGTCACCAGATGCTCCACTGATGTTCCTGGGGAACCAGCTCTGCTGTGCTGCTCTGAAACCTTGCTCTCAAAAGGCGAGGAGGAAGCTCTAAGCCATAATTTGCTGTCGGCTAAACTGCCATCCAAAAGCGTACTGGATCCCTTCTCCAGATTCTCATTAGGTCACCCTTGTAGCCAGAGATCTAACTACACACCTGTGGCGCTGACCACGTCCGATTGGGCGTGGTCACAGGTGTGTACAGGAGGGCAGCATTTAGGTTGGCTCTAGGAGAAGCTCCTTCTCTGTCTCTCTCTCTCTCTCTCTCTCTCTCTCTCTCTCTCTCTCTCTCTCTGTCTCTCTCTCTGTCTCTCTCTCTCTCTCTCTCTCTCTCTCTCTCTCTCTCTCTCTCTCTCTCTCTCTCTCTCTCTCTCTCTCTCTCTGGCTGCTTGCCAGACATGGAGGACAGCCTGGGAGGAACCTTGGAGCTGGAAGCTGAGGCAGCCACCCCCCTCTTATGTAAGTTTTATCTCTCATTATAAACTTTTTAACCTGTACTAGATCTAGTGAAACTTGACTCCCACATATGACACACCCTAACCCTAGATAAAATCACAATAATAGAGCCAAGCCACCCCTATATTATTGGATGATGAGTCACATTCCTACAAAACAATTAATTATTCCCTACCAGAAACTTCTACAACTGGCAAACACCTTCAGTAATGTAGTAGGATACAAGATTAACTAAAAAAAAATCAATAACCTTCCTATATACAGATGATAAATGGGCTGAGAAAAAAATCAGAGAAACATTACCCTTCACAATAGCCACAAAAAAATAAAATGTCTTTTGGTAAATCTAACTAAACAAGTGTAAGACCTGTATGACAAAAACTTTAAGACTTTGAAGAATGAATTTGAAAATATTAGAAAATGAAAAGATCCCCCATGCTCTTGGATATGTAGAATAAACACAGTAAAAATGACAATCTTACCAAAAGCAATCTACAGATTCAATGTAGTCCCCATCAAAATCCCAGTACATTTCTTCACAGACCTCAAAAGAATAATACTCAACTTCATACAGAAAACCAAAAAGCCCAAGATAGCCAAGAAAACCCTGTACCATAAAGGAACTCCTAGGGACATCATCATCCTACATTTCAAGCTCTGTTGTAGAGTTACACTAATGAAAACAGCTTTGTACTGGCATAAAAACAAAAGCCAGTTGGAGCAATGGAATCAAATAAAAGAGCCTGATATTACTTAGATATATATATATATGAACACCTGATTTTTGACAAAGAAGCTAAAACTATACACTGGAAAAAGAAAACATCTTTAGCAAATGATGCTGGCATAACTGAAGGTTGACATGTAAAAGATTGCAAATAGACCCATATCTATCTCCATGCACAAAATTCAAGTCCAAATGGATCACAGGCCTCAACATACACCCAAGCATACTGACCCTCAGAGAAAAGAAAGCCAGAATTAACCTTGAACACATTGGCACAGGAAACTACTTCCTAAATATAAAAACCCATAGAATAGCCATTGGGAGCAACAATTAATAAATAGGAACTCATGAAACTAAGAAGCTTCTGTAAGACAAAGGACGTAGTCAACAAAAGAGCAACCTATAGAATGGGAAAAGATCTTCACCAACCCTACATCTGACAGAGGGCTGATCACCAAAATATACAAAGAACTCAAAAATCTAGACACAAAAATACCAAATAATCCATTTTATAAATGGAGTACAGATATAAACAGAGAATTCTCAACAGAAGAAACTCAAAAGACTGAAAGACAATTGAGGAATTTCTCAACAAAACTATGAGAAACCATCTCATATATATCAGAATGACTAAGATCAAAAACGCTGATAAAAGCTTGCACTGGAAAGGATGTGGAGTAGGAACACTCCTCCACTGCTGGTGGGATTGCAAACTTGTATATCCACTTTACAAACCAGCATGGTAGTTTCTCAGAAAATTGGAAGTCAATATAACACATGACCCAGGAATACCACACTTAGATAAATGTATCCAAAAGATAGACAAACATACCACAAGGACATTTGATCAACTGTGTTCATAGCAGCATTGTTCATAATAGCCAGAACCAAGAAACAACCTAGATGTGTATCAACCAAAGAATGAATAAGGTAAATGTGGTATATTTACACAATGGAGTACTATTCAGTAGTAAAAAAATGACATCTTTTTTACAGGCATATGTATGTAACTAGAAAAAAAGCCAGACTGAGGTACTCCAGTCCCTAAAAGACAAATATAGTATGTACTTACTCATCTCAGTGACATTAGGCATAAAGCAAAGGATAACCATACTATAGTCCACAATCCCAGAGAAGCCAGGTCAAAAACAGGCCCCTAAGAGAGACATACATGGATCTGCATAGAAAGCATAAATGAACAAGATCTAAGTAAATCAGAAGCATGACTAGGAAAAGGGAGGGTGGAAGGGGAGATACCAGGAAAAAAAAAGAGAGTAGGGTGGTGAATATGAGGGAATAAGATGGTTGAGTTGGGGGAAGGAGAGAGAAGGAGAGCAAGTGAAGGATAATGTTGATAGAGAAAGCCATTATCAGATTATTGAAAAATTTGGCACTCAGGAAATTCCTATGAATACAAAAGAGTAACTCCAGATAAAACTCTAAGCAGTAATGGAGAAGGTGCCAGAACTTGCATTAACCCAAATATCTGACTATGGATTTTCATTATTCATGCTCCATTTTCCCAGTGCCACTGGAGTGTTTATCTGGATGGTCTTATATTGAAACTGCAGCATTCATATTCCAGCAACCTCTGCCTCCAATACTAAGAAATATAGACAACAATCAGAAATTGCATGCTGAAATTTTATTAGGGTCAGGGAGACAGACAACAATGGTTCATTGGCCTCTTTTTCTGAAGTATATAATCGTCTCAGGCATTCTCTGAAACAGAAAAGGAAGATAGAAATTAGTGAAAAACTGGGACATGCTGGGGTTTCACCTGACACTGAAGTGAGAGAAAAAAAACCATTCTCTCCCCAGCACCTTCCCCTCCTTCCTTCCTCGTTTTCTCATGTTTGCTCTTGTCAGCCACAGAGCAGAGAGTAGAATAAATTATTCCTTATGAGAAGAAACTGAATAACAACTCTTAGCATATTCATCCTTGGGTTCTGATTTAAAATTTTCCAGGATATATTTCCAAATGTGATCACTGAAATGGACCCTTACTATGGAAAGATCTGAAACCAGCCTAAATGTCTATTAACAGAATGATAACAAGGAGATCAAGGCAGCCATGCAATGTAGTAGTGTACAATGTTTACACCCAAAATATTCCAAGTCTACAAACAAGATACAACCGAGAATGTCAGTGAAGCATACTGTAAGGAGGTCCATGTCACATACTTTTATGAAGCAATGCAGTTTTCCAAGAAATGTAGATTTTTAAATAAATAAACTAAAGTTTTCCATAGAATATCAGTCATGTGAAATTGAATCTTACATTATATGCAACAATGCATACACAAAGTAATATTTCTAAGAGGGTTGTGAATGGATTAAAAGTAGTGAATTTCAAGGACAAGAATGAGAACTTAAGATAATATATAATAATAATATTCAGCTATTTGCCCTCCTAGAAAGGCAGGTTTTGAGGAACATGACCATACACAATTTTAGAAGAAGGTATAAAAAATATGGAGAAGGTTAAAGGTATCTCTAAGGTATCACTTAGAGACAATAGGCCTGAGCATCTCTGAGTGAGTGGGGCAGAGTATACAGGCTGGAGAAGAGAGATCCCTGAGGGTCAATACAGAAAACAGAGAACCAAAACTATGTTGCTGCTGTACGTCTACAAACCAGACTGTCTCAACAGGTAATCACTGAGAAAACAGGAGCTTTAGAATTGTGTTCCTCAAAGGCAGAAGTACATTGGCATGCTTGTCCACGGTCATCCTATACCAACACACATGTACCATCCTATACCATCTGAATGCAAAGATTAGAAATAGGTCCACGTTTCCTTGGGGCAAAACTCTGGGCTCTTCACCTATCTGCCTCAGCAACACTAGCTGGTAAGTGGGCATGCCTCCCGCAGGCAGTTTGTTCCAACACACACACCCATAGGACCCAGGGTTCTGTGTGGGGAAGCCAGAAGATAAGAGCATACTGGTGAAAGAATTTCTTTGGTTTTCCTTCCCTGACCTAATCATAAAATCCTTTCTCCCAGAACTTGTCTGCCAACTGCTAACTACTTCTTCCATTCATCCTTGCTCTTGAAGTTTCTAAATCTACATCCCAATGAGACAGAAGGCCTTGCACCTTGGGACAAGTATAAGCTACAGCTGTAAAACATGAAATTTTGGAGAACCTTATTTATCACATGGGATGTCCCCAAAGGCAAAAGGGCAGTAATGCAAAGGAAGAATACATTAACAACAGGAAGGCTGCCAACTGTGATTAAAGACACCTTATGAACTCCCTGCCTCTGCAACGGGTTCTAGCCCTGATTTCTAATCCATGGGATGAAATTTGACTTAACTTTTCAATATTTTACATCTACACTCTGAAAACTCTAGATAAGAGAACAAACTGGACTCCACTAGATTCAGTAAATGCCTGGGGACATTTGGCGGTTCTTTTTTTAATCAAATGCAGTTACATAATGAATGGAGAAAGCAGCAAGGAAAAACCAGGGAAAGCCAAGGATTTCTCCATCTTTTTCATAAACTGTTTAAATATAGACATGAAACCAAAGAAGAAGGAAACCACGGACCCTCTCACTACAGGAAGAGTCAGCATTAAGACACTTTTGGCTTCTGCCTCATCTCACAGTGGTCATTTTTGGATGGGAAGCAGGCAAGTTTCTTCTGCTCTTATGGAAGCTTGCTAGATATCATTCAGTTGGCTGAACTAAGTCCTGCTCTCCAGTACCAAGTTTGGGAACTATGTTTATATCTTTAGAGAAACTAATATTGATTCATTCCTAATACAGAAAATATGGTAAAACGACACACTGAAACACAGATAGTTAAACAACATGGAAGGATGATCTGTTGGGCTTAACTTTTGTGACAGCAGCAGGATACTCATTGGTGACGTCTAGAAATAAAGCATAGGATGAAATGAAAATTCAGATCACAGT